TTCTCTGATCCTGCTGTGGCCGACTGTTATTTCTCACAAATAATCATGTTCTCCTCCACATTTCCCAGCCTTTCTTCCAAGATGTTAAAATTGTGGGACTACATTCTGGCAGACGGGATGTGGGCAGATGTGACGTAAGCCACGCCCAAGCGTGGCTCATAAATTCTTCCAGGCAATCCTTCAGATCTTTCTCTTCTTGGGCAACTTGGAAGCCAGGTGGCCAAGATGTCTTAGCTGTAACACAGAAGGAACCTATCGGACCCATATTGGACTGTGATGTGAGCAAGAAATGAGCCTTTGTTGGGTTAAACAATTGAGGCTTGGGGATTGTCTGTTCCAGCAGTTATTGTTAATTACCTCAACCAGTGGCTCTCAAACTTAGCATGTTTCAAAATCACCAGGAGGGCTTGTTAACACACAGGTTGCTCATGGGTGAGTTAATATTAAGCCTCCTACACACCAGCACGAAGCAATGCTTACTGTAACTTGGCTGCACTGAAATGAAGCTGTAGGAAAAATGGGTGATGCCAGATGTAACCTAATGCTGCACTTATCTACACTGAGATGACTATAAGCGGTCCGGAAAGTGATGACTTCAAGCTACCTTGAAGCACAATTCAACCGCAGCATGATTATGATCTTCTGGGAAACTAGAGGGCAGACACATCAGCCTCCTCTGAGGTCACCCCTGATGAGCAAAAGCATTGGTCAGACTGCAGGTGAAAGTACACGAGAGAAAACGTAGGCAGACAATGGAAACAAGGCTTCAGTGGTATAATGGGAAAGTCCATATCGGAATCATCGTAAGTGCCACAATGTCATACCTATATGCCTATCTCTAACAGTTTGGGAGCTCTACATTTCCTAATAGGAGCAATAATAAAAAGTTAACTGCCAGAGAAGGGAAAATACCCAATAGGAATCCCGCAATTTTGTGTCAAGAACATTGGCAGAAAACAAATGTATTTCTAATGACCGAGGATGACAGACTCAACCCTAGAGGTTAAAAGAAGTGATTAGACAAAATACAATTTTATTCTTTTCTTTTTTCAGATATGAAAAATGTGCATCTATGTGGTGGGTATTTCTACAGTATTTTTCACAGCAGTGATTTTACCATATTGCCAAATTTGTCACTGTTCCTTTTCAAAAAGGTAGTTTTGCATCCTCTTCAATAACTTCATACCCTTCTCATACCCTCTACCACAAGCCACGCAAACTAGTCTTTCTTTTTATATATAAAGACATAAAATTTATTTTTCTTTTAGGATTTGACTTACTAATATTTAATTTGTAAATTGCCTCACCATAATATAATAATAAATTATCCACATTTTCCAGAAACTATTTTGTTTCATTTCATTTCTTTCTCTTGATTTCTTACATAGATCTGATCACAGACAGTCTTGGTTGGACGTTGCTGTTAACATCCCTGAGGCAACTTTGTTACTGCTGGTTGGTACTTGAGAGTCAAATGAGAATAGTCTGATTAGTCCCATTCTATTTGCAATCCAACATGATATTCACTCTTGATATCATTAACTCTTCACATTTAAATTTTAATCTTCATTTATAAGCTATCTGTTGTCCTTAACTCTACAGGTCAAAAAATAAATTTGATTTTCTCTGTCCTCTTGAGGAAATTTGAATACAGGAAGTAATGAACCAAAATAGATCTTACTACAGTATGGACATTCAAAAGTTTTACTTATTTCAAACTATTCAGAAAAAGGTAGGTGTTAATTCTATTTCATTCATATTGTTTTTACAATAAATATTATTAACTTTCTACTATCTACAAAGCATTGTGTTAGGTGCTGAGGAAGATCAAACATCAACAAGACACAATTGTCTCTATCTTCATAGAACTTAGAAGTAAGGTAAATTCACAAGTTGTGATGGTCCTGATAGTAAATGTTAATTTTTTTTTTTAAAGTAGAACTTAAAAGCTACATATCAGAGGGTAGATTATTTGCAAGATGAGTCAGTGACAGTTTTGTGGACATCTGAACTAGTTCTTAAGGAGTTGTAGAATACTGAGCGTAGAGAAGGCAAGTGTGGAGGGGAGGAGGCAGTACTATCTGGAGCATATTCTGGAATGGAATAAATTCAGAGGATGTCTATAAAGACAACACAGGGCATCATCAACGATAAAGGTGACAAAAGGCAAATTTTTGTCCTAGATTATAGAAATTTAAAAATAATATTCAAGAGTGTAGAATTTACCCTGTGGTCCTTAAGGTTGTGACAAAGGAATGAGACAATGGCAGTTTTGTTTTAAGAAGACTGATCTGATGACGGGTGTGTACAAAAAAGATTAAGGAAAGTCTGAAAATCGGATTCGTGAGATACTGACAGGAGAGAAACTGTGGGTCAAGCAGAGGGAGAAATCAAAGATGACTCTGAAGTTGAGAGCCTGGTTAACTGGGTGGATGGTGACTCTATATATGGCATAAAGGAAGTCAGAAAAAGCAGCTGGTTTGGGGAAAGTCTTTACTACAAACGAGTTAAAAATGCCGGTAGGATGTACTGGAGGAAATGCAGAGCAGGCAAATGCAAAAATGGAGCTGGGGCTCAAAAGAGGGCTGGGTGCTAGTGTTAAAGATTTGGAAAATGGTTGAAGCCACAGAGGGGGTGACTGAAATCATCAAGTGCAAGAGTATGGTGATAGAAACGTAGAGAGCTAATAATTATTCGTGACTAGCACTACCCAAATTCCTTCATTTACACTAAATTAAAACACTAAGACTGATGCAGCTCCCGGAACCTCTGTAAGACAGAACGGTCAACAACGTCAAATGTAACAGAAAGAGCTAGATCTGGGGATTTCTGTTTGCATTTGTGATTAAAGTCACGATTGAGAGAATCTAGATAAGTAGTCTTTTCATTTCCTCAGGTCAAGCGTAGATTTGGCGGTTAGCTAGGTCATCTGACAAAGTCAGAAATCAAATGGGATAACTCCTAACTCACCAAATCCACCTGGAGTCTAAACCATTCCTTTGGATTTTCTAGACTTGACCACATTGTTTTTTCTAACTCCTTGTTTTCTGCCTAAACTCTAAGCTCCTTAAGGGTAGGACTTTGGTCTTGCAAGTGCTTGGCCCTTAAAGGAAGCTTAGCACATTTTGGTTAAATATAATAGTTGAGTGAAAATCGGCCTCAACTGTGTATAGATCCTCAACCATTTGCAGGAGTGATTAGGAACAAAAGAGAATCAAGGATTCAACATAACGTGTGTTCCGGGACCAGCAGGATGCTGAAAAGCAGAGAGCTAGTGATGATAAAGATGATTTAGAGGCCCTCGGATTTAACAGTGAGTCACTCTTCCCATAGCTACCAGAAAGACATGCTTCAAGGATTAATTAACTATTATTCTCAATTTACAAATGAGTTTATAGAAGCAGACAGGTTAAGTCACTTCTAGAAGATCATAATGTGTCAGCAGGAGATCAAAGCCTGGAGGAACTGGTTTACCACCAAGAGCCCCAAGTCTGTAACCTAATAGAGAGGTTCCAAACTTCCTTAAAACTTCACTTCTCAGATGATGAATCACTAAGCTTTTCCCTGAGGTTAGTTTCACATGAGCAACTTGGGAAAGATGCACTTTTAAGTGACGGAGAATTACAAATGCTATTATCTTTTGAGAAATGGTAGGGGCCTTCTTTCTTAAAGACGAAGCAGGAATTCTTCTTGATGGGAAGATAAAACATATCCTACCCCCAACTCTCCCCGGAAATAAACATTTACTGCGTAATGAACAAATATGGGACAAATATATTCACTTGTGTTTTATCCAGCACCTTTAAAATGATTAAGTGAATCGTTGCTTCCCTTTGTAAGAGGTTTATTAGCTACTGGTTTAAAAGGTTCATTTCTTGGATTACAACCAGGCATGAGCTGAGGCGAAGTTACCTTACAGCTTCTTTTGTGGCCTCCCTGTATTCTTGAAACAGGGCAGCAAGAGTTAACCCAGACTGTCTCCCGCTGATCAGTAATGAGCGAGAGCTGCAGCTGAATGTCAATAGCTCCCTGTGAACTTGGGTAACCCAGCTGAGCCCTCTGCTTGCCAGAGCTGGAGGAGGTAATCAGCTTGACCCATGTGACCTTCCTGAGGCTGTGCTCTGTCCTGCATCCAGAAACTTCTTTGCATATGACTCCTACATGCTGCTCAGTTGAACCCTTCTTAGGAGAACTGAACCTGAGTCAGTTTTGAGAGGAAACACAATATAAATTAGTCAATTCTGGTTACAGGTTGCACAATACAGTAGGTGCTTTAAAAAAATTCATAGGGACATCCTGGAAACCTCAAAAAGATTTCCAGGAGCAGCTCTGAAATCTGCCCTTCCAGCATTAGTCAAATAAATTGAAGCTTATATAACAGTTCTGTCCAGACTTTACATTTCTTTGCGGAGCTGTGTTTCATCAAATGCTTTCACCTTTCTCAGTCTGGTAAACTGATTTACTTTCGTTTTATTGTTTACTTGTCACTACTCTCATTGCATAGTCCCAAGGATGCCATACAAGCAAACTTTTCATTATAGATTGGGTATATTTCATAAGATTTTCGTTGAATTTCTAAACAGCTTTTCCTCCTTATTCTGTTCAATAAATAAAACTTGAACAATATCGTAAACTCCTGTCTATCTGGGTCTAAATATATCTTATTAAAGAATGTTATTATTCTAAACTGAGAGAGTGGATGCTAATTCTGCTGTTAAACTGCATAAATTACATAACCATTACAGAAGAGAACGACAGCACTTCCTATAAAAGTAGGAAAGAGTGATTCAAATAATAAAGATTAACCTATCATAGACTCTGGAAATCCATAAGTAAGTCCCATGACAAATATAGAGTTTGTATTCCCAAGAAAATGGGGCTTAAATGTAACAAAAATACTCAATTGGCTTAAGCTCATAATGGCGTTCAAGTACTCAAATCAAAGGCACATTATTCCATGAAGAGCTAGAAGCTTCGTTCTTACCCTAAAGCAAACTTACCACCAAAGTATGTTTATTATGCATGTTCGTCTTCAGGACTCCGGAACCCTTGGTCACGACTAATGGATTTTGCCTGAAAAAAAAATTTGTATACGGTAATTTTCTTTAGTTTTTATAACAATAATTTTTAAAATCCTTTTTAAATAATTGCTCCAGAAAAGATGAATTCTTTATCAAATGCTGTTGACCACTATCATTAATTTGCAGGATAAAGACAAAGAAGTTGCAGCTTCAGGGTGGGGTAAGGAAAGAAGCGAAGTTGGAAATCAAAACCTGTGGTCAAATACTATAAACAGCATGTAGGCTTCTTCGGACAAGCACATATGGTTAGACTAGTGGGAAAAAAACCTGCTAACAATTCTATATTAAGCTGAACATTATCCTCGCAACTTGGTCCTAAGAGAAACAACACAATTATGAACTCTAAGATGAGCTAAGGCAACAGATGGTAAAGATTACTGGAGGGAAATGACACCTATACATTTGACCACAACTGTCAAACACACACACACACAAGGAAAGACTACATAACAACACACTTTACCCAGACTTGCCCGTTTCTGGCTCGAGCATCTTGTAACTGACAGCTTGAACATCTCTGAACAAATATCTTAAGGAGTCCAATTCCCAAAGGAGGGTGATTTTTCAAAACATGTGCCACGTGCCCTAGTAAATCATGCATCCAGAGTGGGCTCTGGCAACCACATGAAACTAACAAAATATATTTCCCGTGCTGATTTTTAAAAGCCCGTGGAGATCTGATCACATGATAACTAGTTATTTTAGCAAGGTCTAAATTTGTATGTAGAGTTGGCCTTTAGAAAGTGTCACATGTTTGTTTTGCCCCTGGAACACTCCTTTTTACAAAGATTCATAAAATTATTTTCTGTGAAAGTAAAGAGAGCAAATCGGCTTTATCTGATCAGATCGCATTATCACAGCGGAGAAGAACTTCACTGCTTTATTTGGAGCGTCTATTTTTTTTGCTCCTCTGTCTGGCCCCGCCAGCACCACCACCCACACTTCCCTGAAGGGAAAAGAGCTTTGTCAAAAGACTTTCTGGTAAACCAAAAGCGCTTTGTGGATAGTAACAGCGCGCCTGACACCAGAATGAGGCTGAGTTAAGCAGGGTTCTCCACAACGGGCTCCTACTGGCTCTGCTCAATCAAATATCTAACACCTGAAATGAATGAGGAGGCTTCAGAAATTGCTCTCGTGACTAGGGTAAGCTAAACAAATACACCTAAGCTTTGCCTTACTCCATATTTCTACAGTCAAAATATAATTTGCACAGATTAGCTGCCAAAATATACTTTTTGGGGCTACCCTCCCTGAGGTCATGAAATGACCATTGTGCTGCGCTCTACCGTGAAGACTCATAACTCTGCTATCCCACAGGCACTGTGAAGGGCCTTATTTGAGGGAGAGCAGACTGTGATAAATAAAGGGAAAGAAGGACAATTAAGACGCAGTGCCCCATCTGGAAGTGTTTCCATGCCTTTAGAGAAAGAACAAGACAAGTAACAGAAAGTAACAATTATATAGAATATAATTGTACAAACACCATAACAGAACCGTGAATCAAGTGCTCTGGGTACCCAAAGATGGGAGAAATTGGTTCCATCTGAGCCACTAAGCAAAGGCTTCCCAGCGGAAGTGACATTGAGGCCTTCAAGGGTTGTATCAAATAGGATACTGGAGACATTCCATGCCACTTGAGGACACACACACCAGTGTGTAGCCCATGCTGAAGGTGCTCAGGCTTATCCTAGGTAAAGTGGAAGAACAAAAAAGGCTATAAGTTTAGGGAACCAATTTTTTTAATGCTTTTTTTTTTTTGGTGAGGAAGATTGGCGCTAAACTAACATTTGTTGCCAATCTTTCTCTTTTTTTTTCCTTTCCAAAGCCCCAGTACATAGTTGCATATCCTACCTGTAGATCATTCTATTCCTTCTATGTGGGATGCCACCACAGCATGACTTGATGAGCGGTATGTAAGTCCACACCCAGGATCCAAACCAGTGAGCCCCAGGACACCAAAGCGAAGTGCACATGCTTAACCACTCGGCCACAGGGCTGGCCCCCTAGGCAATCAATTTTTAAATGTGTTTATTATGAAAGATTCCAAACATTTACAAAAGGAGAGAGAATGATAAAATGATCCTTCAAATGCCCATCACCTACATTTAAAGATTGTCAAGGGGCTGGCCCTGTGGCCAAGTGGTTAAGTTTGCACACTCCACTTCAGGGGCCTGAGGTTCCCTAGTTTGGATCCTATACAGACCTATACGCTGCTCATCAGGCCATGCTGTGGTGGCAACCCACACAGAAGAACTAGAATGATCTACAACTAGGATATACAACTATATACTGGGACTTTGGGGAGAAAAAAAAAAAAGGAAGATCAGCAACAAACCTCAGGGCCAATCTTCCTCACCAAAAAAAAAAAACCAGTTCCACTTTAAAAACAAAAGATTATCAAGTTTGGCAGATTTGTTTCATCTACTTTCTTTTCTTTTTTTCCTGAGTTTTTTAAAAGTATATCCCAGACATGTATCAGTTCAACTCTTCTGACTTCAATATGTGTCTCTTAGAAATGGGCATTGTCCTAAATAATCACAATGCCATTATCACAAACAAAATCAGTCATAATTCTTAAATGTCATCTAATAGAAGGTCATATTAAATTTCTCCATTTTTCTCAAAACTGCCTTTTTACATGGTTAGTTTATTAAATTGGTGACAGATTTTTTTTTTCCAAAGCCCAAATGCCATCCCATGGAGTTGGGCAGCATCTCATAGGCAGTGGGAGTTCCTGGAGGGCCCCGACTATTTCTAAGTCCTCGTTGAATAGCCTTGTACCTAGCACAGTGCTCAGCCCAGAATTAACACTAAATAGAAGTTTGCTGAATTGCACTGATCTGAATTAAACAGCACTGGTGAGTAGGGTGGCCTCTCTTCAGTACTCGGTTTTAAGATAACCCCAGTGGCTGTGGGTGGACATTGGAAAGCCTGGCCTAAGGAAGAGTCTGTACGCTCAAGGAGCTTGCATTATACAAGAGCTGTCAAAAGGACACAAACCATAAACTGGAACTGTGGAGAAGAGAAATCCTCAGCTTGCGGATTTACTGAAATGACTAGCCTTTGAGCCTTCTGGAATATGGAAAGGGGCCATACTTACCCTTGTATATCTGCATTGACTAATATCTGAATAGACTAATAGCAAAGACGGATTTTTCTCAACCAGGTTAAAATGCCTCCTCTGATGATTAAAGAATTGTTTTTAAAATATTTACTTCAACAATGCTCTGGGCGAGTTATACTTGGAAGAGCATGTGTATTCTCAGTGCCTAAGAAAAGAAACCACTAGAGGAGAGACAATTCTATCCAGGGAGAATGGTACTCATAACCTTGCAAAGTTTCAGCAACTTACCATTTGAGCTGCACTTATACATTTCTTATCTCATTGCTTTTCTTTGTTATTCACAACAACTGGTGAAACGTATAGGACAGATCTTATCTACATTTAACGGGTAAGGAAACTGAGGCCCAGAGTAAGTAACTATCATAGTCAAGGTCTTAAAGCTGGTTATTGGTGGAGGCAAGATTTAAGGCCATCTCTGGATACCAAGAACAGCACAGGTGGTTTTAGATTTCTACTATTTTCTTGATTTCCATTTTCCGTTCTTAGGATTGTCTTGGTCCCATTTGTCCTGTGGCACCAAATTTCCTGTGTAGAAGAAGCTGGAAGGCAATGAAGGCTCCCAGTCTTCGCGGGTGGGCTGAGTAAATAAACTTCGAGCAGTTTGAAGCATCCTTGAGAGCTGACAATCTCCTCTTCATATTATTTTTATAGATTCTTCAGGCTCCATTAATATTTTTGAAGCTTTCTTCCAAGAAATAAACAGAATTATATTTTCCCCATAGAGTAGACGTCTACTAGTAACTGATGATCTAAAGAGATTTGAGCTATTTATTATGTAATTGATATATATATTTTTTATCAAAGACCATTTTAAAAGTGTTTTGTGTTCAATTTTTTCATAGTGTGCATAATATGTGTATTGTATGAACAGAGAATCAGACATTAATACTGCAATGAATTTTGACATTATATTTTAGTATGAAAGTCTTTATAATCTCAGATTATAGTGTAAAAATAAAATGCATAGAGTAACAATTAGTTCTGGTTCAATTACTCCACAGCAAATTATCTTCAGTCAATTATTATGAATAAATGTATATGGTTCTTGCATTATTAATATATGAGTGATAACTTCTTCTTTTTTTTAAAGACTGGCACCTGAGCTAACATCTGTTGTCAATCTTCTTTTTTTTCCTTCTTCTGTTTCTCCCCAAAGCCCCCCAGCAATTGTTGCATATTCTTGTTGTAGGTCCTTCTGGTTGTGCCATGTGGGATGCTGCCTCAGCATGGCCTGATAAGCGGTGCCATGTCCGTGCCCAGGATCTGAACCAGCACACCTCCGGGCTGCTGAAGTGGAGCGCGCCAACTTAATCACTCGGCCATGGGGCCGGCCCCATGAGTTATAACTTCTGCACTTAGCTTTCTATTATTGTTCCCTGTACGACATCTATTTTGTTCAGCTTTTCATCTTATTTCCAGTGCTACCTGAGTTTCCGTTTTTTTTTCTTTTCCCTTGAACTATCCTATTATAAAAGATTTTCCTAATTTTTGAAAATGGGATTGTTTTGTACAAGTGCCCTCAGAAAAGACTGTATAATAGTCAAGTGCTGTAATTTCTGAAACCCAATGAAATTGGTGCAAGCTATGAATGAAGATTATTTTGGATTTTCTTTTATCTAAAAGCCCCAGAAATTTAATTGTAGGATCGATTGTCTCCGCTTGGGAGCCACATCTGCCTGTTGGAGCTATATTTGGTTCCAAAATCTCAATTGCAGAAGCTTCTGATTGAGATCGTGCTCTGTCCTTCCGCACAGTGACTTCTGAGGACAGTCCACTGAGATGGGTGTTAATTTCTAGCCTTCTTTATTTCCTACAAGTGGAATCAGATTGAGAATGTTCAACTAGATTTTTTTCTCTTAAGTCAACTGTCAACACTTCGATCGTTCTTGGAAATGAAGGAAATTCATCCCCCAGGATCAGGGAATCGTGTAGATTTACAAGGCTAAAGTTTTGTTCTCCATTTTGTTACAGTTTTTGTTAAGGATTAGTACCAGGGAAGATGTCATTGACACTAAAAATATTTTAAGGAAGAGGAAGAAGGAGTGCTGTTAAACTTTTTGGAGATATAATATTTCAAAACAAAAGATGGTATTTGGGAGGGATGCTGACAACCTCACAGTGACAGGGTCTTCTCTCGTTTTGTATTCACCACAGCCTTGTATAAAGTAGGTGTTCAATAAAGGCTTGTTGCCTGAATGAACGCATGGGCCCAGGTTTATTTGAAAGAAAATTTACATTCATATGCTATGGCATCTCCCGGAAGCTCTTCATTTCAACCTTCACCCCCTCTAGAGGAAGCCAGGGTGATCTTTCTAACATGCGGATTTGGTCCTGTCATTCTTATAGCTAATCACTTTCACTGGCTCCCATTTGCCGACAGGATTCAGTCCAAATTCCACAGCATGACGTGGAAGCCCTTGCCCCAGCCTCAGCCTCCAGCTTCATCTGTTCCTCCCGCTGCTCTACCCACCTCCCCTCCAAATAAACTGGATGCATCAACCTGCATCCTCTTTCCATGCTTTTGTGTAGGCTGTTGCCAGCTTCCAGG